GTCACTGTGTGAATCATTTCTTTGAGGGTCCCTCTGATTTTTGCTGACCCTCCACTTTACCATGCATGATGTCCTTTTCCAGTCACAGATTTCTCCTGACACCAAAGCACAAGAGACAAAGTCTCTCCATCCTGGCTTCTAAGGAGCGCTCCAGCTGTACCTCTTCCAAGACTGATTGGTTTGTTCTTGTTGTAATTCATGGCATTTCAATCTTCTCCTCCAACACCGTAACACAAATGCATCAATTCTTCTACGGGCTTCCTTATTCACTGTCCAACTTTCACATCCATAGGCTGTTGTTGTTTTTAGATGCCATTGAGTAGGTACCCTGTACACAACAGAATGAAACACTGCCCGATTCTGGGCCAGCCTCACGATCCTGGATACGTTTGAGCCTGTTGATGCTGTCACTGTGCCAATCCATCTCATTGGAGGCCTTTCATATGAGGCTACTGAAAATACCATGACTTGGATCAGGCGTGCCTTAGTCCTCAAACTGACATCTTAGCTCTTGAACACTTAAGAGTGGTCTTGTGCGGTAGATTTGTTTAGTTTCTTGACTACAGCTTCCATGACTGTTGATGGTTGATCAGAGCAAACTGAAGTCATTGACAACTTCAATTATATCTCCATTCATAGGGATGTTATTTATTGGTCCAGGGGTGAGGATTTTTGTTTTCTTTACATTGAGGTGCAACCTATGCCCAAGGCTGTGGTCTTTGATCGTTCCTCATCAGTAAGTATTTAAGTCCTCTTGGCTTTTAGCAAGCAAGATTGTATCATCTGCATATCACAGGCTGTTAATGAGTCTTCCTCCAATCCTGATATCATGGTTTTTCTTCATATAACCCACCTTCACAGATTATTTGCTCACCATATAGGTTGAATAAATATGGTAAAAGACTACAGCCCTGGCACACGCCTTTCCTTACTTTGAATAATTTAGTGCTCCCTTGTTCTGTTCAAACAACTGCCTCTTGGTCTTCGTACAGGTTCCTCATGAGAACAATTAAGTGTTTTAGGATACTCATTCTCTGCAATATTGTCCAGAGGTTGTCATAATCCACACAATCGAAAGCCTTACATAGTCAATAAAGCACAGGTAAACATCTTTCAGGTATTCCCTGCTTTCAGCCAAGATCCATCTGACATCAGCAGTGATATCCCTTGTTCCATGTCCTCTTCTGAATCCGGCTTGAACCTCTGGAAGTTCTCTGTCATTGTATGCTTGCAGCCGTTTGTTAATTACCTTTACCACAATTTTATTTGCA